TCACTCTGCCCGAGGGCTTCCCCAAAGACGTCATCCAAACGACAGATCTACAACCAATCAGAGGCACTGGAATTCCCTGAGACAAGCCAACAAGGGAAACTCCGCTCAGCTGTCACCAAAACGCAAGTACACAAACAAAGCTTTCATCTCTTGCTGAACTGGTGCTGAATTAATCCTAAGCAGTAAAGATAAGACAAATCTCTGCTTTTGTGATTTTCTTGGTGCGATCCAAGAACGAAAAATGTACTAGACTTTTGGGACTTCAGCCAAACTCCGTTAATCCTCATTAAGAACTAGTAACTTACTAGAACTTTGGGAACTTCATGCAAGCGCAGCAACTCATTTCCTGAACCTTTTATGTGTATGTTTGTGTGTGTGTGTTTTAGCTTAGTTTAATGTGCCATAGAATAGCGAATAAACTCTAGTTTCATTTATAAAGAAGTATTGTCTTGTGTTGTGTATTTTTAAAGTTAAACTCTGCACAGATCCGGCTACCTAGCTCGTAGCTTATAAATGATCACAAGCATGTATTAACCTTTGGCCAGGGATGATACAAATATTCAAATTGGTAAGATATACTGATGTTAACGTCTCGCTGGACGAACGGTAGATAAAGTGTAAACTATCAAATTTGGAATCAGTTCAATCAGGTTGATTTTGAATCTTCAGATTCGATTCCCCCTCTGAAAAGAGCTAAAATAAAAGAGTTAAATTCCTTACATTGTCATGTTTAGAAATTTGCTTCAGACACTGGTCACACTGAAGGCGTTCCCCATAGCGACTGCTAGAGGACACAGTGTCTCGTTCCCTTCTCGGGGAACCATGGTTGCATGTGTAACCCGAGACATTTTCTCCCGCCCCCTCCTCCTGAGGCAACACCCACAAGGGTTATCAGATTGAGGACAAGCGACACGAACGAGTGCAACTGACAATGGAAGGCGATGAACCTAATGCCGAGACTTTTTAGGTCAGGTAGAATCTGCAATCTTTGACCCGGTTTGTTTGCTCACTTCCATGGCTGCAGTATCTGCAGTATGCTGCAAACTGGCAATTCAGGCTTTCGGAATATTATTGGGTAAACTGGCAGTGGGCGGAATGGGCGGAATCAAAACAAAAACAGACATTCCGACATGGAATGCACATTTTCAAAGTAAAATAACTGGCTGTAGCATGTTTTTTTGGAGAAACAAATATCTGAACTTGCATGAAGCATGTTTCCTGAATATCAGCAAATGTATTATGGTGTTTTTATGCTTCAGTACAGTCAAAAAAATTACATACAGCACCTTTAAAGGTAGGGTAGGCAGTTTCTGCGCTAGTATCATCTAGCCAAACTACAAAAAATAAAGCATGTTTTCAAACAAACTTTGCAAATGCCCTTTTCGCACTTCACGACTCAAACACCACAAACACAGTTCCTATGGGCTTATAAAAGTGAGGGCTTGTTTCAACAGGTAAAATTAAGCTACTTCCAATAAAAGGCCAACATTTAGGAATACTTTTAACTTGAAGTTTAGCTCAGATGTTGAGAAGAAACTCCGCAATTTCTTTGTATCGATTGAAACCCAAACATTCCATCAAATTCCTCCATCTTGTTAAAGACTGCCAATGTTTACCCTGTTTTACCTCATTACTGCTGTCTTTCTCTGTGCTATTTTGGCAAGTCTTCGAATTTTGGCTTGCACTTCTCTCTTTGGCTTGACATTCATCAGGTTTTTGTCCTTAAAGTGCTATGTGTGTAGGACTAATTATTTGTGCATCTCATCCCATGCCTCTGTTGCTAATTACAAAATGTTATTTTAGAGATAGCAATGGAGGCCTCACCCACTGATAGCAGACTAATGCAGAGAAAGAGAGAGAGAGATTAAGCGTGTGAATAGAGAGAGAGAGAGAGAGAGAGAGATTAAGCGTGTGAATTACATGAGTCTGTGAGTCTCTCAACAGATTTTGACAGCAGTGTCTCTACTAACAGTGAAACTGTAAGTTCATCTGCTTCAAGAACAGCACTGTTATTACCTCGCTAGAGAGAAATGCTGTGTAGCTTTTAAGTGAACTATTTTACTGATAAAATCATCGGAGCAGAGTTGACAACACATTTCTGTGCGTGTGTATGTTTCCATGTGTGCGAGTGTGTGTCCGTACTGTATGTGTGCGCGTTATGGGAGGGAGAGTATGTGTACATCATAAAATTTAATTTTATGGCCAAAATATGGAAATAATTTGTCTTTTTTATCCTATTGTTTACTATATTTATTTGCTTGATCAGTGTCACTGTGGGTTTTAGTTATTTTGCTGTTGTAGATCGTAAGGACCTGGAAATAATCATTTGGCGAATTGATGGCCATGTAATGCAGTCAAGACTTTCCTGGAACTACTTTAACCGTGCATTTCCCTGAAACGAAATGTTCGTCAACCAATCAAATTGAAGCATTCAACAACCTCATAGTATAAATATTTACATTTTCATATTTAGACCACTTTAATTATTGATTGCTATCAGAATGTGAAGAGACCTTCAACCAGTATAACAAAAAAAATGTTTTTGGAAAAAAATTGTCTACTCCACCTTTAAGAGAGCTAAAATAAAAGAGTTAAATTCCTTACATTGTCATGTTTAGAAATTTGCTTCAGACACTGGTCACACTGAAGGCGTTCCCCATAGCGACTGCTAGAGGACACAGTGTCTCGTTCCCTTCTCGGGGAACCATGGTTGCATGTGTAACCCGAGACATTTTCTCCCGCCCCCTCCTCCTGAGGCAACACCCACAAGGGTTATCAGATTGAGGACAAGCGACACGAACGAGTGCAACTGACAATGGAAGGCGATGAACCTACACTATAAACTGATGAGTTGATTTATCCGTGTTTTAATATGCCTGTAGTGGTCATAGAGCTTTTTACATGAATGCCGAGACTTTTTAGGTCAGGTAGAATCTGCAATCTTTGACCCGGTTTGTTTGCTCACTTCCATGGCTGCAGTATGCTGTGTTTTCTGCAAACTGGCAATTCAGGCTTTCGGAATATTATTGGGTAAACTGGCAGTGGGCGGAATCACACAGACCAAAACAAAAACAGACATTCCGACATGGAATGCACATTTTCAAAGTAAAATAACTGGCTGTAGCATGTTTTTTTGGAGAAACAAATATCTGAACTTGCATGAAGCATGTTTCCTGAATATCAGCAAATGTATTATGGTGTTTTTATGCTTCAGTACAGTCAAAAAAATACGTACAGTACCTTTAAAACGGCAGCCGACAACACTACAGCTTGTGCAACGCTGTTATCATCCATTAGTGTGGACACTAATATTACTGGGTAAACTGGCAGTGGTCGGAATCAAACAGACCAAAACAAAAACAGACATTCCGACATGGAATGCACATTTTCAAAGTAAAATAACTGGCTGTAGCATGTTTTTTTGGAGAAACAAGTATGTGAACTTGCATGAAGCATGTTTCCTGAATATCAGCAAATGTATTATGCTGTTTTTATGCTTCAGTACAGTCAAAAAAATTACATACAGCACCTTTAAAACGGCAGCCGACAACACTACAGCTTGTGCAACACTGTTATCATCCATTAGTGTGGACAGGACACTAATATAGTTATTGTTGCAGTTTTTTCTTTGGTCATGTCTTGAAGTGGCAGAGGATTTAAATAAATAAAAAGGGCTACCTACACTTTCACAACATACTTGTATAAGGGGTGTAACGGTACACAAACATGACGGTTCGGTGCGTACCTCGGTTTTGGTGTCATGGTTTGGTACGGTTTCGTTACAGCAGGGGGAAAACTAGACATAAAATTGCTTCTTTTTTAATTAAACAGTGGTTTACTGAAAAAATGCTCTTTCTTTACATAAATTTAATTATAATTACAAATTTCTTAGGGATAAAAATCTACCTAAGTTTATGCTCTAAATTATTATAAGGTTACAATTAACAACAGAGCCCAAACTTAAATTTAATTACTATTTATTTTTAAATATAATAATCAACACTGCAGTTTTTAAATTAACTTTTAAATTATAAACATTTTATTTTCTGTTGAAATATAATCATTTACACAGTGGCTCTCATAACTTGTTTCATAACAGATTTATTTATGCATACATTAAATAATTAAGACATCACTAACAGGTAAGTAAAATATAATGATTATAAAGTCTAATATTTCGCGAAATGCTCTTCTCTAGACTTCATTTCTCTCGTGAAATAATGAGCTGTGGACATTAATAACTTGCATTGAGGTAAAGAAAAAAGGACATAATTTGAAAGACGAGACTTTGTTATCAAAAGAAACAATATATAAAACTGGGAAGTTTCCAATGAAGTTCCACTCGTGGTTAAAACAATGCTGTATTTGTTCGGTACACATGCACACCGAACCAAAAGACCCGTACCAAAAATATTCGATATGAATACGTGTACCATTACACCCCTAATAAATAGTGTCTTGAAAGGGATGATACAGTAGCCTTTGACTGTTGTCACCTCCTTTTTTCTTGTACCCTATCCTCTCCTCTCAGAATCATCCCTTGTTCCTCTGAGAGGTTTTCATATTGCCATTACCCTTGAAGTATTTGGTAAAGTCTGTAAATAAATTTTGTTGTGTATTTTCTGCTTGTTCTTGTGTGGAATAAACTTCATTCATTCAGACTTTGATCTATGGATCAGCAGGTGTTCACCCTCCAGTAAGCTCAGTGTCTGTTCTGTGCGCCCTTTGACCCTTCTCACATTATAGTTTAATTGCATTTGTAAGATTTTTATAGTTAGCATATTTTATTCCTTAATCACTTGATTCACTTCAGCTACAATGTTCTAAACAGACACACAGAATGTTTGATTGTGAATGCTTTGGTCCATTGTCATAGCAGTAACTGATCTGCTTCATTTACTCTATTATGTTCATTTCTTTATTTCAGTTCCTGATGTTGGAATTTTAAAAAGTGGATATGAAAAACTGAGTGTTTTGATGTTTATGCTGGTTCTTCACAGGACTTTAATGCAGGGCTGGCCATCACTGTGGTGGACCTGACGGCTGCGTGTGTGAAACAAGTTGAGAGGAAAGGATTTGAGATCACTACACCTTTCAAATCCTTCTGGTAAACTGCTAAAATATTATATACTGTATATTAGCATAAGGCCAGGAAAAACAAGAAAGAAAAAGAAAAAAAGAAAGAAAATCTCTTATCAAAATAAAATATTACCATACGGTAGATGTTGTTTTAGACAGATTTCAGGTGACCTTCAAACAGAGTTAAGCTTCTTACCTGGACTTTCTTAACACAATTTATGCTTTACTTAATTATTTTAAGTTTCACTCAAGGTCAGACTTGGAAGATTACGTTTTCTTAGTGTAAATAATAATTTATTTACACAAATGCCTCCAGATTATGAGTTCAGAGATGCTCTAAATTTCAAATACAGATTCTGATTACATAAACATGTTATTATTTCAAATGCTTTCATTTGCAGAATAGTTATTTAGAAAATTTACTTCTAATAAAAATTGCATTTTTGCTTGCATATCATATAGACTTTTTAAAATCAGAGTGTGCAGCTTACCTTGACAGCATTTTATCCTCTAGCCAAATATGTTAATTATAAATGTATTTTATTTAATTCTTTCTCTATTTTAAAAAATCTGTCTAATATAAGGGACATTTCAGTCACATTTGTGTGTACTGTGATGATGTTGGAATCAACTATGAGCATTAGTTAAGTCCCTCAAGTGTGTGTGTGTGTGTGTGTGTGTGTGTGTGTGCGCCTGTGTAGACATTAGACAGCAAGAAAACTCACTATTTTTTGGAGCATAGTCATACTGTAAGAATTTGAAATAAGTGACAATTGATAATCAGTGTTGGAGAGTAACTAGTTACATGTAATGGAATTTAATGTAATAAAATAAATGTAACCGTAATCAGTTACAGTTACTGAGAAAAAAATGTGTAATTAAATGACAGTTACTTATGAAAATGTACACACATCCTGTCATAGCTATGCAAAGATTTGATTTCAAAAACAGTATCATAGCTATTAAACTATTTCTTGTTATGGTTTTAAATCTATATTTAAACTCAGAACGATCTCAAAATAAAAAGAGGTGCTTTTGTGGTGGATGTGCTTTAAAAATAAATTATTATAATCTTAATTCAAATGCTGAAGGATTCTGACATCAATGAGTGTTGAGTACTACTGTAAAGTTAACCCTGCCTGCTTTAAATGTTTCAAAATGATTAACATTTGAAAACATTCGTTAGAAATTTAGAAAAGTAATCAAAAAGTAATCGAATGTAATCAGTTACATTACTTTAATGAAGTAATTGAAATAGTTACACTACTTATTACATTTTAATTAGGGTAACTTGTAACCTGTAACCTATTGCATTTCCAAAGTAACCTTCCCAACACTGTTGCTAATATGCAAACCTCAAAGATCAGTGAGTTCTGAAAAGAAGGTAATTGCTGTTCCAGTGTGGGATTTACCTATTCTGCCATTTTAAAAACTTTTGTTGATCTGCTCTTCACAACTGCATTGTATTCAAGTGCAAAAGGAATTTCCAAGATACTTATAAGCAGTGTTGGGGGTAACGCATTACAAGTAACGCGAGTTATGTAATCAGATTACTTTTTTGAAGTAAAGTAACGCAAAAGTAACGTAACGCATTACTTTCCATAAAAAGTAACTAAGTAACGTAATTAGTTACTTTTTTTATGGAGTAACGCAATATTGTAATGCATTACTTTTAAAAGTAACTTTCCCCAACACTGCTTATAAGTCTGGGAAGAATTTTGAAAGGATGTTTTGGGCCCCCATAATCCAGAGTCAGGCAGTTTACTCCTGGACAAAAATCTGCACCATTTCTACATTCCCTCGGAGAGGGTGTCCTACAATCCTAAGTTCAAGAATGTGCTGAAGAGTCCTTAAACAACATACAAAGAATATAAAATGTGTTGCTTGTAGAAAACAGATGGCTGTATTTACTCCAAAATCTTATTCGAAAGTTATGCTGGAGGGGATATAATATTATGAAACTTTTCTGCTTCGGGGCCTGAAACTTATTTAGGCACCAGTGAATTCCAAGTGACTTAAAAAGTAAAGCAACTTATTTAATGTATTGTTTGGATATTTATTTACTTTTTAAATCACAAGTGAGAGATGTCTATTGGTTAAAAAAAATAATCATATTAATCACATCCTAAAACCGACCACTTTGTTAGCTACATCTTGATAGTACTGGGTTGGACCCCCCTTGCCTTCCATATTGACGATGATAGCTTCACACAGATTTGTTGGCTGCACATCCATTATGTGTTTCTCCTTTTCCACCTAGTCCTAAAGGTGCTCTGTTGGATTGGATGACTGCGTAGGCCATTTGAGTATAGTGAACTCCTTGCCATGTTTAAGAAACATGTTTGAGTTTAGAGGAGTAGCACCCGATGTGGTCTTCTGCTTGTGTAGTCTATCTGCTTCAAGGTTCGATGTGTTGTGCTTTCAGAGATGCTTTTCTGCATACTTCGGTTGTAACAAGTGGTTATTTGAGTTACTGTTGCCCCTCTATCAGCTTGAACCAGTCTGGTCATTCTCTAACCTTTGGTATCAACAAGGCATTTTCACCCACAGAGCTGCCGCTCACTTGATATTCTTTCTTTTTCTGACTATTCTCTGTAAACATGCATGTGGTTGTGCATGAAAATCACAGCAGATCAGCAGCTTCTGAAATACAGTGCTCAGACCAGCTTGTCTGGCACCAACAACCATTGCCACTGTCAAAATCACTTAAATCACCTTTCTTCCTCATTCTGATGCTCTGTTTGAACTTTAGCTGATCGTCTTGATTATGTCTACATGCCTAAATGCATTGAGTTGCTGCCATGTAATTGGCTGATTATATATTTGCATTAACAAGCAGTTGGACAGGCGTACCTTATAAAGTGGCTGGTGAGAGAATGTTAGAAGGCTGCATTGGGATTGCAACGGGACCCAACGCAAATCTTGCGGGAGCAGGTGGTTTTACCTTTGCTGGGGGTGGGAGTGGGCAGTTAAAAAAATATTGCATGGATCCCGTGATTTGGCACATAACAAGAATGAGTTGCAGTAGTTACACGGTTTGGTCGTACACCGATTACATTACTTGCCCACCGTGTCACCACCCCACTGTCATTAGCTGGAAAACGTATGCTACAATTCTTAACTGAAAGGGTCTGCTCTGATTTATACAGACAGGGTTGCCAGGTCTGCGTGACGAAATTTGCCCATGCCAGTCAAAAACAGCCCAAAGTAGCTCAATTACCATATCTCAAATATCAAAACTCAAAATATGTTATTTCCATACCTATAATACATATTTACATTCACTGTTCTGCACATTGATCCATAAACACAGCTCAAAGGTTTTCTACCACAAGCTGCTGAGTGTATGTGATCGCAAAATTGAAAGTTAAAGTGAACAACGAGAGCTCATTCAAGAACGATTTCAATACCCCGCATATTGATAAGGCTCCCTGATGCACGGGAATTGTATACAGTATTAGAATGTTTGGGAGAGGGCGGGAATGGACACAAAAATTGTGTGAGCAGGCTGGAGTGGAACACACACACGTTGTGGGAACGGGCGGTAATGGTCGACGGAAATTCAGCGGGAGCAGGATTAAGAAAATAGTCCCGTGCAGGGCTCTAGTGTATGTTTGCATTTGCACCATTATAGAAATAACCGTTTCTGAACCATTACTACAAAATTCCAGATTTATAGAATATAAAGTATTCATAACTTTTCTCGCAACTGTAACTGGAATTGTTCTTGAATTGTTTTAACCAAACACGAAGTGAGTAAACAAAAACATTTCTACTTACTATTACATTCACTACCTAGTTTGTAACATTTCAGGAAATGTGAAACTTTTGTCTTGGTTCATTTATCAAGGCGTTCTTACTTAGGAGTTTTACCTCTTAGTATAAGTGATTGCACCAACTACAGTGGAATATGGATTAAACGGCTGAACTTTGCGAAAAGATTAGTGTCAAGCAGTTGAAACTTTTCTACCTGTGTATAATGACATTGAGTGCTTGCATAGCTGGACGGTGAGATTTATTAAAGGCAGAGGAAACTCCATCAATTTCTCCTTTTTGAGCCTTTTTAGTATCATTTTTTTCAGTTTGTTGCCTGCTGTGTTATTTTCTAGCAGCCACTCTCTCATTATGACTGTCCTGCCACTCTGATACTATCTATCTGAAGCACACTCATTATTGATCTGTTTTTTTTCCGCTTCTCATTCTTTTTTCTTTCTTTATAAATATCAGCTTTGTTATAATGGCTGTACAGTACAGGCATCGCTCACCTGTGACCCCACACAAGCTGATGTTTCCAACAAAGCAGCCATTTGCAGAGGCCTAATCGATGAGATGTTTTCGTGTTTGTTTTTTAATGATCCTTTTATGACTTATGTAGTTCCCCTGCTAAAAAAAAGACACAACAATAACAACAACAAACAATGAAAAGCTATCACTTTCTTTCCTTGGCTGGTGCGCATTGTTAAAGATTTTTCCTCTTTATCTCTTAGCTTTGTTTTTGTGCACAGGACAGAATATTGATCTGTTTGTAGTTGCGTTCTGAACATTGAGTGATATGAGGCTGGCCGACTATTTAGTATTAGTTGTTGGCAAAATAATTGGAATTTTTCAAAGAAATTACGTATCTAGGTCTCTGCGCTCATTTAAAATAATGGGCACAGAGGGGGTCATAATGGAAATGAAAGGCAGATTCAGAGCTATTACTGGTTTTACATTTAGACTGAACTTGTGTTTGCCATTGTTATATGTCTGCTACTTGACCTGGGCCCAGTGGGACTCAAACTGTTTGGTTTTAGGCCAGGATGAACTTAACCAAATAGAACTTTGAGTTTGTGTCTAGTTTTGGGTTTGTTTTTAATTATAAAACAGATATTTATAAATATTTTATGTTTTATGTTTAACACAACATATTTTGTTCACACACACACACACACACACACACACACACACACACACACAGACAGACAGGCTCCTTATATTTGAGTCAGGGCTTAGCGAACTGATGGTGAAGGATTTCAGGCCCTGTCTTAAAATTTGACAGTACCCGATTTAGGCTTCAACTTCAACAAAGGGATAGTTTACCCAAAAATGTGGATTCTGTCATTCATTTACTCATCCTCATATCATTCCAAACCTTTATGACTTTCTTGCTGTCATGGAAGACAAAAGAATAAATTCTGAAAAATGTGTTAATTGCTCTTTTCCATGCAATCCCAATGAAAGGGGACTGAAGCTTTCAAGCTTCAAAAAAGACAGAAGCACCATAAAAGTGTCATAAATGGTCAATATTATTTATGCGCTGTATTCCAAGTCTTCTGAAGTCATGTAATTTCCCTTCAGTGAGCTGTAACCATTGCAAAACTTGTGAACAAAATTTAATGATTATTTTTATGATACTTTTTATAAAATCTTTAGTCTCCATTTATTGTAGTACATGAGAAAGTGTGACCAAGAGTGACAGTCTTAAGAATTTCTCTTTTTGTGTTCCACAGAAGAAAGTCATGCAGGGAGATATACCTTTAATGTCAGTGCATAAAAGGTGCTGTAACATTAACAAAATTTCTTTCTATTGTCAATAGTGTAGCGATATATAAAGCCCTGCTCATACAGAAGTCGCTTTCAAACCAAGCAGCGAAATGTGTAAAATCTGTGTGGGGCAAACTTTCACCTTCATATGAAATTCTTGATTTGGATTGTGCCCATGACAATTTGCCAAACAATGGTGAATGTGACCACCCCTTCAGGCCCGTTCACACCAAGGGCAATCACTATAACAATAAAGATGTATTAAAAAAAATTAAAGTAATAGCAGAGTCCACACCACCGCTATAACAATAAAGGCACAGAGGAATGATATTATTGGAATCACTTTCAGAACAATTTTTTTAGCTGATGAATGGTGAAAACATTAAAAGCTAATCAGAGTCAATAATGCTTTAAAAAGCAGAGCGAGCGCCTTTATTTAAATCACCTACTTGATACTTGAAAATGTATGTAAGAGTTTTGTGTTATTTGTGTCAGTTTCACAGTGGAGTCGGAGCGTGAGAGAGAGGAATGGATAGAGGCAGTTCAAGAGTCCATCGTAGAGACATTGTGCAATTACAAGGTGCTTGAGAAGGTTTGGTTCAACAAGTCCAACAGGAAGTGCGCCGATTGTCAGGCTCCTGAGCCGGAATGGGCCTCCATCAACCTGTGTGTGGTCATCTGCAAGAATTGTGCAGGTAAGAAACAATTATGAACACAAAGAGCAGATCAAGAACGAACACAACAGGAATGGAACATGAAACACGCAATGTCTTTACCACACACCTTAAAGCATCAAGCGATAAAAGTTCACTTGGTTCCTGTGTCTTCTGTGTAAATTGGTTCAAAATTTCACTCCACATGCACTACTGATGAAAAGTTTAGGATCAGTATGATTTTTTTTAAAGAAATTAAGTTTTATTAAGCAAAGACTCATTCAATTAATCAAGTGAAGTTATGTTGTTAACAAATATATTTAAAGTTTCAAAAGAAAATCAAATCAAACAAAGGCTATTGCTTTTGAACTTATTTGAGTAAAAAAAAAATTATCACAGTTCCCACAAAAAATTGTCAATTTCCAATTTCAGATATTAGAATGATTTCTGAAGGATCATGTGACACGGAAGACTGGAGTAATGACTGCTGAAAACTCAGCTTTGCCATCAAAGTAATAAATTGCACTTCAAAATATATTAAAATAGAAAATATCTATTTTAATTCTTAATAATATTTCGTAATAATACTGTTTTTGCTGTATTTCTCCATAAATAAATGCAGCCTTGGTGATCAACAAATTAAAACAATCTTATTGACACCAAACTTTTCCATGGCAAATGGACATTAAATATGAAATATCTTCTCACTGACTGTGATTGTGTCATGTTACACCACAGTTCAGCATGGACAGACTAATTGCTTGTCGTTGAGAACTTTTTAGGAAACGTGTTTTTTATTTGAACTTTAGAGGTACAGAGTAAATGTTCTTCATAGCCATCTTTTTTCTCTTTCTCTCCCCTTCCTCTATTTCACTCAGTATAGTAAGGTACCGTACTAACTCTTTCTCACACACACACACACACACACACACACACACACATCTTACTCCATCTCTTCTCTCTTCCTCTGCTCTTTTTCCCGATATTGTCGTTGCTTAGATTATTCTGACCACCCTCTGATGCCATAAATTAACTCATTATTTCAGTTATGCAGTCATTTAATGTTACATTAGGTCACAATACAGGAGGAACCACTGGCTGAGCGTGTGCAAATGGCTGCTGAGTGAGCCATCGAGTGGGGAGACACTTTCTCTGAATGTGCACCGCAGCCTTCATGGAATCTATGGCACAGACACTTTAATTAGCTGCGCTTCTGCAGCCGACAATTAGGAAAGCGAGAGCGAAAATACTGGGAATATAACGAACAGCTAACGATTAAATGAGAGCAAATTGTCTTCGGTGGGAGACGGAGAGCGTGTGAAAGAGAGAGACCGGTGAAGTTATTTCCTCTTTCTCACGATCCATCTTCACATTTATAATACTTATCTAACTTTCCCACTTGTTTTTTTTTCTCTTTCTACCCCACCTCTCATCTTTTAACACACTGTGATATCAATCAGCATCCCTGGCTGTGTGACATATATTCGGGTTTGTCTGTTTCTTTACGCATGTAATTGCAATAAGCTCTTTAAATCGAACTCTGTGAATGGAGACATTCCTCAAGTGAGGCTGTGGTTGCCATAGAAACTCCTGGTATGCACATTTTTCACTCTTTCTTTTAATAGTTTCAAATAAGGTAACAAAGAGAAATATCTCCACCTTTCTGATGGTTTTTGTTCTCTTTTGATGCTTTAAATAAGGTTTCACTGAAGCAAACGCTGTGTTTAAGGTACTTTCCTGTCTTAGAAGTTTTCTTAGATGGCACTACAAAACCTTTAACGAGTGCCCTTAATGCACACACACTAACACGCACACAAAGCATCTTTAGTCCCGTCGGCTCTCAGGTGGCTCTAATGATCTTTGATGGCAAACTGGTACTCTAAAATGCTGCTAATTATGCCGGAAAATCACACACTCCATATTCAAATATGTGTTTCTCCCTGCCATGTTTAATTCATCTGTTTCTCGCATAAACAACAAGTACTACGGTGCCTGGAGTTCAGCGAAATAAATGCGCAGACCAACAAACACAATTAATTACTTATGATTCATTAGCAATTAATGGCTTTTTCGCACCTTTCATTTGCAATTATAGCTGTGGCAGGCTGGAGAAAAGAGTGCCTGAAAAGGATATGATGAAATTAATAATGAGTGTGTGACTTTGTCTGTATACGTGTCATACGAGTTGTTGCTTTATACCATTTAGTGTGAAGTTGTGCTTAGTTTTGAGGTTAAGCAGGACACTTTCAGTTAACAGGAAGTTTTAACATCTGTATTTGTGAAGTTTACATGGTCTGTTTTAGATGTGAATAGTTCAGATCAGTATCTGTTTCCAGGTCAGCATCGATTCCTGGGTCCTGGTATCTCAAAGGTCCGCAGTATGAAGCTAGACAGCAGCATAAGGACCAACGAGCTCATTGAGGTACCGATCTGTTGTGGTAGTCACTACTTACATATTGATTTTATAAATCTATAAATCTATAGATTTATATTTACCCACCCTGATGTCATTCCGAACCCTTATGGCTCTTGCTTATCTTTGAAACACAAAGGAAAATATTTGTAATGAAATCTGAGAGACTTCTTTCCCTTCATTGAAAGTCCACTCCATGGAGGCAATAGAGGGATGAAATGGTTTCATTAAAAATATCGGATTTTTTTTCTGAAGATGAACAAAAGTCTGAGTTTAGAATGACGAGGGTATGATGGCAGAATTTTCATTTTTGGGTGATATTACCTTTTAAGTGAAGTATATTGTCCTCACGTTCTGTCCCTCTCTTTAGCTGTTTTTAGACGTTGGGAATAAAAATTCCAACAGCTTCTGGGAAGCAAATCTTCCCCCAGAGGATGAGCTTTGCAAGCAGCCATCGCCGGAGCAGCGTGCATCCTTTATCCACAGGAAGTACAATAAGAGGAAGTACAAGAAAGTTCTAGAAGGTCTAAACACTCAAGAGGAACTCAACAAGGTGTGTGTGTGTGTGTGTGTGAGAGAGAGAGACTCTGTGTGCTAACGTTGGCCTTTGGATTAGTGCTATTTTTTTCTACCTCATTAAAAGGCCCATTAGGCCTGGAGATGTTGGCGGCTGTGTGTGTGTGTGTGTGTGTGTGTGTGTGTGTGTGTGTATACATCTGTTGCTGCTGTGACTCACCTGATAGCCCAGGTGTAAATTAGGGTTACCATGGTAACTGGCTTTCTCCAATTGCCAGAGCAGGTTGCCAGGGTTATAAAACCATGCTAAGATTCTGCTTTCTTTTTGCATAGCACTAAATAACTACAATCAACTACAATCAAAGTGCTATAAAGTTATAGTTGGAAAACAGATTTTTTTTGACAGGATGTTAAAGAAATTGAACAGATGATAATTGGATGTGTTATGAGTTAACAAGGTTTCTTGTGCATAATTCATAATTATGCTGTATTTGTGTGTGTGTGTGTGTGTTTTGGTTGTTCCTACTGAGTTTGTCCGCATTATTCTTTCCTAAGCCAAAAGATGCTGTTTTTCCTCCCCGTCAGCACTAACACAGATCAAGCCTGCTTTTGTTTTCTGGAGAGGGGGCAAAAGAGAGGGAACAGAAGGGGAGAGAGGATTGGAACTGTGGATTAGGTGTATGTGAGATGAGAGCAGCACTGGGGAGTTTTCAGGGGTTCTTCTGAAAAAAGTTACATGATTGTGTGTGTGTGTCAGAGAGAGACAAAGAGAGTGAGAGGAAGATAAAGAATACAGTGCAGGTACATACAGAGGTGAGATTAGATTATAAATGGAAGGGTGCGTCTGGGACAGACACAAACAAAATGTTCCAGAAAAATCCTCCCTGTTCTCAAAGTTTTTGTTTAAGCCCTGATGTGATAAATGTCTTTAAGTTTTCATTTTAGCTCTTGTCTGATACTTTCGTTCAGTCTGAAGTTTCAAGCAGTAGTCAGCCTGGCAGGCAGTGGTTTTGAGTTTATGAGATATAACAACAGTTCAGAAGAAGTTCTTTGTAAAAGTAAAACCTGAAAGTGCCTGCATCGTTGGGACCAGCCAAAGTAAAGTAACTGCTTAATAAGCATGCAAATTTATGTGAAAATGAATATGTTTATATGCAGAAAGGTTTGTGTGAAGGTCAGATTTAGCAGATAGAAATTATAATTTGCTCAGTGTGATAGGAGTCCCCACCATGATAGAAAACAAATGGATGTTTATGTGTGTCCATTCAACTGTGAGCTTTTGCTGATCTTAATGGCATCTCATAAAGAAGGCATCTTAATGGCATCACACACACATATGATCAAAAGTGACAGTAAAGACATTTATAATGTTATAAAAAAGTTTTTTTATCAAATAAATGCCGTTCTTTTGAATTTTCTATTCATTAAAGACTGCTGTAAAAATGTATGCTGCTTAAATATTAAGCAGCACAACTGTTTTTCAATAATAATAAATGTTTTTTTGAGCACCAAATCTGGTGCTCCAAAAATGATTTGTGAAGGACCATGTGACACTGAAGACTACAATAATGGCTGCTGGATTTTATTTCAGTCTTTGCCATCAGTGGCTTAATTATCATTATGTTGTATTTGTTTGATTATATAGAGTATGCATGTACTGTATGTGTATATGGGTGTATATGTGGATGTGTGTGTGTGTGTTTGTGTCTTTATCTGAATTATAGTCCACAACTCCAATTAGAATCAGTGACCTCCAGAAAGTCTCTTCAGCAAATGTGACCTAGAGAACATGTGCACACACACACTAACCTTGGGGTTTATGTCATTGGAAGAACATTTCAAGGTCACCCAGACACCGAATGAAAGGGAACTGGTGTTATATACTTTTTAATCTGGTACATTACATAAAAGTTATGAATAACTTTTAAATATAATAAAATATTAAATAAAATAATAATAAAATAAAATATAGAATAAAATAAAATAAAATGTAAAAATAGAATAAAATATAAAATGAACTTTATTTGTCTAAATTTAGTATTGTCATCAAGTAAATAAATAAGTGACACTGATCATGTGACTGTTTGTACATACATCTCATATAATGCTGGAGACCATGATCATCAGGTTGACACAAAACTTGTGGAGTTAAAGCATGTGAAGTGTTACTATCATTAAAAAAGAGGCGAACCAAAATATTTAAATATTCTGATATTTGTTTATTTATTTCCAGTTCAGCTTTTTACTCAAATTGTTATGCTAATAACATACTCTTCCAACCAAACGTTTGGGGTTGGTAAGATTTTTACAAATTTATTGAAGTCTCTTATGCTCACCAAGGCTGCATTTATCTGATGAAAAATGCAGTAAAACAGTAATATTGTGACACATTATTATAAAAAAAAAAGTTTTGTATTTTATTATATTTTAAAATGTAATTTATATTCAGCAGCCATTATTCCATTTGTCAGTGGCACATGATCCTTCAGAAATCACTCTGCTGATTTGGTGCTCAAGAAATTGTCAGTGTTAAAACAGTTGTGCTGCTTAATATTTTTGTGGAAACCATGATACATATTTTTCATGATTCTTCAATGAATCATTCAAAAGAAGAGCATTTATTTGTAATAGATTTTTGTAACAATTTGAAAGATCAATTTAATGCATCTTTGCTTTAATAATTTCTAAAAATAATAAAAATAAAAAAAAAAGTTCAAAGTTCAAACTTTTTAATGTTCTTTTTTTTAAAAGAAAAAATACATGAAAATCATTTGAAATGATAAAATAATTTTCACTGGTAGTCTGAGATGTTTTGATTCTTCTGTACTTGGTAGTGGCAGGTTTGTATTGGAGTATGTATATGTGTATGTGTGTGGTTTACTGTCTCAGTGTCCTTGTTCTCCAGCGGATCTAGCTTGTTTGAGGAGGATCGATAGCCTTGCTGGCTGTTTTAGATGAAAGCAGTGTTCGACTGAATTACTCCTGCCATCACTCTCTCTCGCTCGCTCTCTCAGAGACACACACTATTGTATTTATTGACTCTTTCCCCCTCCATCTCTTTTTAATTGGACTGACTGGATTCTTTCTGTGGATGCCCCGCTTCCTGTCATTCCTGTTATTCCGTACCAAGATTCCAAGTAAAGCTGCATGCCACAAATATTTGTTTTCCATAGCTTCAAAAGGAGTGGTACTTTGACAATGTTGTTAGTTAATTCATCATGTGCTGTCCGATTCAGTGTAGTCTTTGCATGCCCAAAAGTGCTGCTGTGCTTTTCCCATCACTGACACTCAGTTTTGTTCATAATACATGTTTTGTTCCCCTCCTCTGTACGTGTGTGTGTGTCCGAAGGCCCTGTGTGCTGCAGTGGTTCTCCCTGACATCCTGCAAACCATGGCCCTGGTTTTCAGTGGGGCGGATGTGATGTGTGCGACAGGTGACCCTGAGTACTCCACTCCGTATCTACTGGCTCAGAAAGCTGGCCAGAGGCTGCAGATGGAGTTTCTCCACCACAACAAGCTCTCAGGTGTGTGTGCTTAAGAAACTCACTTCATCATGATGTGTACAGGGCGCCATACTTTGCAATAACTTTTGCAATATATGTGCCACCACATATACACTACTGTTCAAAAGTTTGAGTTTTTTGAGAGAAATTACTACTTTTATTCATCAAGGACACAGTAAATTGAGCAAAAGTAACAGTAAAAGTTTTTTTTTTTTCAAATACATTGTTCTTTTGAACTTTCTATTCTTCAAAGAATCCAGAAAAAAATGTATCACTGTTTCTACAAAGATTAAGCAGCATTTCAGAATGATTTCTGAAGGATCTTGTGACACTGAAGACTGGAGTAATGGATGCTTAAAATTCAGCTTTGCCATCACAGAATTAAGTTACATTTTAAAATATATTAAAATTAAAATTTATTTGAAATTGTAATGGTATTTCACAATATTACTGTTTTTACAGTATTTTTGATCAAATCTATGCAGGCTTGGTGAACGTAAGAGACTTCTTTCAACCAGCATTGGCAACTTTTTGAAGGAATAGGGGATAAAGTTGTACCAGAAGTGAACATGTTATCAAATATGCATGAAAGAACTGCTGTGTGTAAAACCTATAGTCAATGCAGATATTGAGAAGACATACACTACTGTTGAAAAGTCTGGGACCAGTATGATTTTTTTATGCTTTTGAAGAGTCTTATGCTCACCAAGGCATCATTTATTTGATGAAAAATACAGTAAAAACAGTACTATTGTGAAACATTATTACAATTTCAAATAACAGTTTTCTTTATTAGTGTATTTTAAACTGTAATTTATTTCTGTGATGGCGAAACGGAATTCTGAGCAGCAATGTTGAAAACAGTTGTGCTGCTTAATATTTGTTTGGACACTGTGATGGAAACATTTTTTCAGTATTCTTTGATGAATAAAAAGTTCAAAAGAACAGCATTTATTTACAATAGATATTATTTGCTGAATAAAAGTATTAATTTAAGTACTTTAATATGAAAAAAAAAAATCTTGCTGACCCCAAATTTTAAACAGCAGTGTAGATCATAAATGGCATGGATAGTTTTACTGTTTTCCTGTTTTTCATTTTAATACACTCTACCTGTATTGATTGGTGAAGTCTAACTGGTACTCACAGTCAGATTTTCATCACAATTGGCATTTCTCACAGGCTAATGGAGGACTTTAATACACACACAAATCCTTACCTCAAGAAGGCATTGCCCCTGAACGTGTCATTACATTGCTCATTTGGGGCCTTTACTGAAAGTGTGCCAATGATCCTAATTAAGATATCCTCCAGTCAGCACAGGCACAAATGTTTTACAGTGTTCTGCCAATGTTTTGTTAAGCTTACTAACACTGTAACAACAGCAGGACAACATTTGTGTAACCTCTAAATCTGTGTGGAGCTATATGGCCTCATTAACTTAATGGCTTGCAAATGTGATTCTCAGTCAGATAATTCAGTCATCTTACACACATACACACACATTCAACTTGCAACAAGTTCCATTGTTTCTTTTGGATTACTACAGTCTAATGGAAAAATACACATATGCATACATTTGAATATATTACTGATGCAGGTTCTCAATTTGCATGTTTGCGGCACATGTGCGGAAATCGCCAAATTGGACTTACCTCCATCTCATTATCACTTTTAATCCTTCTCGTTCGAACTGAGAAGTATCTGTAGCTGTAAGGAAGAGATGGATGGATGGAAAGATCTTTTCAATGAAAGTTATTTAAACTTTTTCCATGCTGGCAACTGGAAGTATGTGATTAAAATCTCATTGGTACTGCCGGCCTTCCCGAAGAAAATTTAACCTGAGCATAGTGGCTAATTGAATCAAAATGTGATAAGGTAGTAGGCAGAAAAAGGAGTTAAAGGTGCAATAGGTGATTGTCTTCAGAAACATTTTTTGTTATGATGGTTGAAAGTCTCTTCACATCCCGATAGCAATCATTAAGTTAAGTGGTCTAAATGTATTTATCTATTTATATATTCTGTGGAAGGCGTAGGACCAAGAAATGTTCGTCCAATCAAAACGCTCGGTCCGAGCGTTTTAATTGGCTTTCCTACATGCCTGTCAATTTATGTATCTGCATACCTCTGCACAGACAGGATACGTCATCAGCGCGTTCACGCACGCTGTGCAGACAGAGCGAGAATGGCAGACAAACATCAACAACCCGATCTTCCTTCCTGGTATTGTAGTAATTTTAAAGTTTTCTCACCGGTGAATGACACATGATGTAGCCCAGCCGTTCCCAATTCCAGTCCTCGCGATTCAGATAACCAGCTCGTTAGAAGTGAGCTACGTGCATGAACTGTGTTCCGATCCATATGATCCCTACACAGTGTTCATTGCTCCCTCGTCCCTGAGCGGGGGAAATCCGTTGAAGGTTACTTCACTTCGGAACATGGGCTGGAATTGGGAACCGCTGTTGTAGCCTATTGTAGTAATGTTGTCTCTGGTATTCTGGTCTGTGAGTGTAAATGCGTTCAGGGGGCGTGGCCTTGGATGGAGATTGCAGGGAGGGTGGGACATTGGCTTTCAGTGCTATCAGGCTAAAGTTAGCATTTTCCAAGATCTCCTACTGCACCTTTAAAGTGAAGGAGGCAAATAGGGAGAGCAGATGAAGAGGTAGAGCGGAACGAGGGGAGCAGAGTGAAATCTTCTAACCTTGAGCTTCTGTGTTTGGATGGAAGTTTTACAAGCCTTCTAAACAAATAACCTTGGAAAATGAGAAATGGATGACATTTAGCTGTTACAAGCTGATTGACACCTTGCATGAAGACTGACTGGTTATCAAGAAGCTTCTGAGGTAAATAGTTGTTAAAAACGTTGAATTTCACTTGAAAGCAGCAGGAATAGTGAGCTGCGTTTGCGACTGATCCCCATTTAAACAACATTTCTCCTCCTCACCACATTATAGGATTACTCCTAATCAGCTGTTCTCCATTTTCTTTTTAATCTCTGTTTTCCCCCCTCTTTTCTCTCTCTCTATAGATTTTCCTAAGCTGGAAGCATTATGTGACAGCAGTTTTCCGGCTGATGTTCCTTCTTTTATGGATGGATTTCTCTATTGCTCTGTGAACGCCAGCAAGGCCACTCTGGACTGGAAAGGAAGACCCGGTGAGTCTGTCTGTCCTTGCATTCATCCATCCAAACACCCACCTCCTCAGTTATCCATTCATCCAAATAATTACCTATGAATATTCATCTGCGCTTCCTGTTTATCCTCACCCATGACTGGAAATGGTTGCACCGTATTTGTGCAATATCATTATGCCCTACTTGCATTTGAGTACCCCATCCTTCTTACACTAAATCCCCCCAAAGATGTTATTCTTTCAAGTATGTTCTCTCTGGCACCCATTGTGCTCACGCTGTTCTCTTCCAAGCATCTGGAGAGGGCCGTTGGTGGTTAGACAGAAGTTATCTCTAGGGAGGGGCCAGGAAATGGCCCTACATTAAGCTGGACTCTTGGTGGAGTAGCACAAGAATCTGGAGCACATGTTCCACTGTAGGAGCTCTTTTTTTCTTCTTCTTCTTTTCAGCTCGTCTCTAACTTGTATCCCTAGGGACATCTGTCTCAAGCTGTGGTAGCCCGCATTGGTCCTCTGCCTGTTTTCCCCGATACCACTGTGTGTGTGCGTGTGTTTAAGAGCAAATAAGCAAGCTGTGTTTTAGAATTAGGCGCCGATAGTTGAAAATGGTTTAATGCAGTTCTAAGTATCTTAAAAGTAAATGTGGTGACTGTTTGAATGTTTGAAGAACATCTGTTATGATAATAAACAGGTGCCTCATTCTTCTTTGCACAAAAAGAAACTTCTGCAAAATGGATGAGAATCTGACAACTTTCCTGAACTGCCATCAATGTGGTGATAAAACTTTGGAGTGTTTTTGAGAAATTCTCAAATAAACCACGGTAGCATAAGATGTATAGGTAAAATGCATGTCTTTGTGAAAAAAGAAGTGCGTTTAATTGCATTGAATGTGCACCTGTAGTGTACCGTTCTTCAAATCTTGAAAGAATTTTAAAAAGAAGAAAAAAGAGCTCTATTTACTGATAGTATGATATTTATGAAATAAAGGGTCACTTAAGTGAACTTAAGAGAGTACACTTTCATGACTATGTTTTATAACATAGTAAGTATACTTTTAAAAAGTGCACATTGAAATAACACCAAATTAAACGCTTTAATGTCCATTTAAGATAATAATCTGTTAATAATCTTTTGTCATGCTTTAAAGATGCACGCTTATTTTGATGTGTTGACTAATATTCAGTTTACTCTTTCAAAGTTCAGATATCCAATTTGTATATTCTTTTCATTTCTGCAAGAAGTACTCTTTTTAAAAGTAGGCTAAAATGAATTTTTTCACAAGTGTAAATATAGACAAAAACTTAGAATTTTGGCTTGGGTAATGTTAAAGCAGTGAAAATCCCATCGACTTGCATTGGAGGAGGGATGTGAGCCAAATCAGAGACCAGAATATCATAGTGATGTGGGACTTTTCTTTTAACTTGGGCCAGTAATCAACCACCTAGCACCAACCCTAGCAACCACATTGCACCATTCTAGAAAACACTCAGAATACCTTAGTAACCACATAACTATGCCCTGGCAGCCACCCATAACACACTAGCATAGTGACGGTGGCTCTTTAGACTTTTCAGAAAAACATCTCACTTATCTTCACACAAAATATGAAAACAAAAAGAATCTTTTGGTTCTCTTCTGCTTAGAAACAGTAGTTCAGACAAAAATTGTATTGTCTGATTTGTGCTGATTTACAGCTCTAGAGAATCATTAGTTTGCTGTCCCCATCCTTCCCTTTTATTATTTACTGATTTTGTCCTTGTAAGGCAATGTTATATAAAATATCTTACATGGCTCTATAAAAGAATCGCAAATTCACAGCTGAAAATGCCTTATTTCATTACAAAAAAAAAAGTGTGCAGACACATTAATGGTGCTGTAATAGTAGAGTCCTTCTAAAATATTCAGAGGTACAACTTCAAACAGTGCATTTAAACTTATTTAATCTACAGGAAAATGTTGCTTGAGCTATTCTTAGAAAAGGACTTATTTTCAAAGCTCTTCCATTGAGGCTGCCTTAAAGCCTTAAACACTAATGGTCTAAAACGTTCTGTATAAAACCTTATGTCAATAATTTATGGTTTCGTCCTGGGGATTTTAATAAAAGCACAGTCTGCTGGATTTGAGGCTGTCCGGTTATTGCACTGACTTCACTTTTAAGTTGTAGCAACATTTTTATGCTACAAGCAGCAAACACCACACACTACTAACAAAAAAGTACCCAACCACGCTGAATATGCTTAAGGGGAAATATATTTTTTACATACTATCCAATGATTTGGGTTTATGATTTAAGCTGAGCCATATTTCTCTGCCACACTGAGATACTGTGATGCTACTGAAAATGAAGGTTAGTCAGTGCTTTTAGTTGTTCCCTAACACTGAATGTAACACATGATCAGAAAACATGAAAAGTCTGATTTCTGATTTAAGTGTTTCAGTGTTGCTTCAATGTTTCAGTACTTCAGTGTTTCAAACATTCAAGTTTCACAGTTTGTGGTGTTCATCGCTCTCCTCTGTTTCTGTTCGTAGCAGTTCTGTTCTCGTGTACATTCAGAGCTTGGATTTTTTTTTTCATCCAATCATGTTTCTTTTGCTCTCCCTGTCTCTGTCACACTACTTAATCTCTCTAAATTCTCCTCAAATCTAACAACACAAAGACAAAGGCACATGTTTTCCATTTATTTGGCTTTGATATTCTAAAAAACAAGGGTCATACAATTCATTCACAGCAGTATTCTGCAGCATTAATGGATTACTATAATAATGGTTATCATTGTGAATGATATTTTGATTGTGGATGTGCATACATTTGTGTGTTTAGGGTTGTGCACCATTCAGAATTGAATTGACCCTTTGCCAGGAGTTTGACTGACAGGCGATCTGACTACTCATAATGCCAAATCTGCTGTTTTGTCTGACAAACAAACCAGACAAACTAACATCGGTAGACTTGAACTTGAAAAATGGTGTGTAGTGATGTTTTTCCGTGGTTGAAACAAGATACTTTCTGATGTTCCTTCATGTTTATTTTGTGCTATAACTAGTAAAGAGGAAGAGATGATCATTCACGTGCTGCTTGAACTGAGGCGCTACAGCGATCTGTCAAGGCAAATTAAAGAGCCACAAAATTATATTTATTGTTTGAATTTCTTAAGAAATGACAGCATTTGAAAGTTGAGACTTTGTTTCATACCAGAAGTAAGCTGCTCTGTCTTGCCTCGTGATGTATTTTTTCACTGCGTGAGGACATGATGTGTGGCATGAGAGTGCCATGGCTTGTCGGAAGTAGCAACAGTAACTAACGGGTGCGGGACTTTGCGAAGGGTCAATTGAGAATGTATTTTAAATTCCAATTCAGTTCCTCAGTGAATTCAGCCAATTGGAACTCTGGTTGCTCAAACTAGATGTGGAAGTGTTGTGTTCAATAATACATTACACATTTATATAAATAATCAATGTTTGAAATGCTATTTAACGATATAATTTTATGAACCATGGTGGAAGATTTTACTATTTTACTCTGTTGTTGTTATTATTATTATTATTATTATTTATCTACCCAGAATGGCAGCTAAACAGAACTCTCGAGTTATCTGTTGTTGTTGGGTTGGACTAAATTTTAATTTTAATTCAGTAAATTCCTCTTCCTGTCATTTCAGTTCCAGTTACACATTCTATGGGGTGTTGCCAATTCAATTCAAATTTACAGTTATAAATTGAAAGCATATTCTTAGTTTCTGAATTTTGCCCCACCCTGATGTGTGTGTGTGTGTGTGTGTGTGTTCGTTGTGAAAGAGTGTGTTTTTCTGTGTGTCTTTACTGAGCTTCCGCTGACACCCGCAGAGGAATCGTGCTTTTAGTGGAAGAGGAGAAAACAACCACATCTGCCCCTTTATAAATCATGCAGTGACATTCCTCTGTGTGTGTGTGTGTGTGTGTGTGTGTGTGTGTGTGTGTGTGTGTGTGTGTGTACTTGTGAAACACCCCATGCTCTAAAGGGGATAATGCATCTATAACAATCTACCATTGCCTGTCACTGCTGGTAGCTGTGTGTCTCAGATCCGGGTCAACTTCTCAATCGAGACTCATTCATTTCTTTCATCTGGATCAATGTTGCAATCCTTTCATTGCAAACAATGTCCATCCGCAAATGAAAGAGGTCTCCCATAAGGTTTCCGCCTGTGTAAATGATAAAACAAGATTATTTTGAGGCACGTCCATTAATGACTAAGCTCTGAACCATGCTATGCTGAGCTCCAGACACCAAACTCACATGAATATGAGTCACTTTACTCACACATAATAAATAAATGCTCACAACTTTCAACAGTCTCTCAACAGTTTTACACTAAGGTCTGTTTCACAATGCACTTGAAAGGAGCACATTTTTTATTTTTTGCATCCATGTTAATAGGTTACAGTATTCACAATGCTTGCCCCTAGAAGCAGTTCTGTGTACCGGGAGCGAAGGTGCGTGTTTGGTGCTTAGCCTTTTTCTGCTCGTACTAAATTGAACTTGGCAGAAAATGCATTTCAAACCTATTTTTTTCTGAACAATCTTTGTTATATAGCTATATTTAAAGCAATATAAACTACTTCAGTAAACTACTCTCCTGTTGTTTGAAGACATTTGTTGGGCTCCATGCACACATAGTGACTGCACTGTCTATTCGGTAAATCTGACAGAATCCAGCTGATTCAATTAGGTTATAGCTCCAGTTTGGGTTTTCGTGCCATTCTGTGTAGATTAATTTCCATCTGGAGGTAAATTTGATTCCACTCCTCATGTTACATATCTCCTCGTAAATTACATTTCATGACCATCAAGTTTGTAATGATTCTCAATGGACAACTCCTGATTGTGATTTATAGTTGTTATTAATGAAAATTTGCAATACAGTAGCACAGAAATCACTTTATTTTTGTATAGAGCAGCATAAGCCTGCTGTTGTAGTTACATTGCTGTTTTCGTTATGTGTGCGCTGTGAAATAGACTTAATTTTATATAGTTGGTTAAGTGACTTGTTTTGTTGCAGTGTCAAATTAATGTGGAATTTGACAATTATAGTAGATATATGCATTTCTATATATGCTACCGTTAAACGTTGGGGGTTTTAAAAATGTAAAAGTTCTGAATAAAAGTAGTTTTTTTGAAAACAAAAAAAAATTCTACTGACTACAAATGTTTGAACGGTAATGCAGAGTTGATAGTTGTTTCTTGTGCACAGACAACACTAAACAAGATGTACATGGATTGTAATAGTAATGGCAAATGACTCTGATGTGCCGTGTAAAAGACCTTGCCTCTTTTTAATTCTTTGATTTTCTCTTTCTTGCCACTTTTCACAGTTAGTTATTTTACCTAACTGAATGATTCTCTCAATAGCACCTCCAGTTCTCACGCCTGTCTACCCATACAACCTTGAATGATCACAGGTAAAGACAGCCATGGCCTTTGGGTGTATACAAATCTGGAGAAAATAAGTTTGGCATAACAGAAATAAAGGAGATTTACACACCTTTCAGGGATGCTCCAGCCTCTTCAAGTTTCAAGCACATATTAGTTGTGTGTGAACTATCTAAATGTGCAACTTTGCTTGTGAAAAACCTTTTAAATCTCCTTTTTATCATTTTGAATTTTAAGAGGCTTGACCCCATACTGAGATGTTGATGTGAATTTTTGAAAATGGTTTCAGTTCACTTAAAGACACTGATGAAGTTGAAGTAGACAAAGACCCCTTGCCCACATGCTATGCAAATTCAAATATAATGACTAATGAAAAGGACACCTCTTTATGTTTTGTGAGAAGCACTGGTTCATAGATTATATATCCATACCCTTTGTAAACAAGAAAATGAAAAGACAGTGACAAGAGGGTTTTCGTGCACTTACTGTGATGGCATTTGAGCTGGAGAGGTTCAGACAGATGAGGTGAAGAGGTGTGATGGAAATAAATACCAGCAATTTGTTGTATTACACCACACTCGATACTGAAAGACGGCCACATTGAATAGTTGTTGATAGTAAATGCCAGCTGCCTGTGGACTTGTGTGCATGTGTATATATACACGCCACATTAGTGTGTTGTGATATTGCCAAACGGTCACCAAATACCAACTCTGTCACTGATCAACATTTTGTTTCATACCATCATTTTAAAAGTTGGATATCACTCTGCGTGTCACATGGATAACCCCTCCTTGCCCATAAATTAGTGTCTCTTAACTCTCGTCTTGACATTGCCGACAGAACAGTTTGTTCCCCCACAAAACCCAGCTAACTGGAGTAATGAAGTGCCAGTGTTGTAGATGAATCAGGTGAGGCATTGTCAGGAACAAAACATTGTGTCACTAATAGCTCCCCCATTGTCTAATAGCTCCCCTCTGGAAACATCACACAACCCTTTCTACTGAAAAAGAGACCATCAGCATTTTCACAAGACAAATGACAGTTGTATGATATGAAAATGACTTGTGCTCTGAATATTTAGAGTGTGTTGAACAAAGCTAGCATTGCTGAACTAACTTAAAGGGGTCATATGATGCGATTTCAATTTTTCCTTTCTCTTTGGAGTGTTACAAACTCTCTTGGTGCATAAAGAAGATCTGTAAAGTTGCAAAGACTAAAGTCTCAAATCCAAAGAGATATTCTTTATAAAAGTTAAGAGTCAGCCACACCTACCTAAAACGGCTCGTTCTATAACGCCCCCACATGTCTACGTCACTATCTGGGAAGATTTGCATAACGCTGCCCAAATGGTCACGCAAAGAATGTAGGCGTAACTTTTATTCTCGCTGTAGTATTGTTGCCGCCGCCGCCATGTCGTGAAGGCGCTGTGTGCTTCATTGTGAAAGCGAAACTACTTTGTTTGGCCTTCCAAAAGAGGACGATATCGCTTCGTCATGCCTGGAGCTGATCCGTGCTGGTCGCTGAGGAAATACTTCAACTTCGCGCTGTCGATCGCCGGATCGGCTTTCACCGTGGACGAAGCGGAGTCCAGCCCGGGGTCGTCACATGTGGTTGCCGCAGGCATCACAATATGGTAAGGGACGTAACGTTTCCGTCACACGCTTGAGGAATTCGGCCAATCACAACGCACTGGATAGCTGGCCAATCAGAGCACACCTCGCTTTTTCAGACCGATGAGCTTTGTAAAAATCAACGCGTTTCAGAAAGGCGGGGCATAGAGGAGAAACAATAATGTTTTTTGAACCTTAAACCGCATAAACACATTTCATTACACCAAATACACCAAATAATGTTCTTTTTAGCAGAATCATATGACCCCTTTAATGTAATAGTTAGAAAAAGAATGTAACGTCTCATTTAAATATTTATGATGAACAGAAGCCTTCTCAGACTGGGGAGAATCTCTTGGATTTTAGTAGTTAATGTGATACCGCATTACAGGCCTTAACATGCCTTGATGTATCTTTTATATATTTAAACTGCACTTTTATGTGGCTTCAAATAGGGTTTAAAAAGCTTTTGGTAGCATTAATATTTTTGTTGAATCTTTAAACACCTCTTTAAAGGCATTCAGACACACAAAATGAAATATCAGTGTTTTGATATTTTCTTATAATGAAATATCAGTTTGTTTTATTAAATCCTCTTTTTAATGGGTGCTTTGGGAAAATGCTGTTACTTGTTGCTTTGATTTTATTAAAAATGGTCTCGTCAGATTTACTTGTGCTTTGTAACTCAACACACTCTCAATGTTAGATTAGAGCACTTATAAAATATATTTTTGTCCTGAGATGTACATTACTTGTCACAACCTGTCGTGCACCAAGCAAGTGGCTGTGTAATGTAAAAGTGGTGTAGTGGGTAATACTTGTGGCTCATAATCAGAAAACTGCTGACTGAAAGGACTGAGCCAGTAAGTGAACTGTACAGATAGGACACTAGGGATATAAGTGTCTGATAAATTATTTATTACTTGAACACAAACATAATAAGTTAGATAAACTTGAATTCATTGAGTACATTTGAATAATGTATGGTTAAACCACTTGGCATTTTTAAGTTTTGTTTTTTGAGTAGATCATTTACAGTTTTTTTTGTTTTTCTTTGCAAAAAATGTGTCTGATTCTGGTTGCTCTTTATGGACCACAGATGATTTCTTTAAGGATCTTTTAAACCCTTTTAAATGTCTTTAAAATAGTAGTAGACAAAGAATTCATGTGGTGCAAAAAGTACTAATAAGTGTGGGATAATCGGCCATGTAAGTGGCTGTGAATCTGCTCTGAATTCTTAACGGTGATACAGTATAACCACTTAAGAAAATTAGTCTGATCTGATTAGTCTTTCATACATTGTTGCCACATTTTTAGAGGCCCAGTTGTATTAAAGCAAGCAAATTCTAAAGTACAGTAAGTGAATAGGGAGCCTACTATGAACACACACACACACACACACATAGAATGTTGTCTGAATATTGTTTAACACATTGCTATGTGTTCTGGGTGGTTGGTAATGTGTTGCTCTATGCTTGCTAGGCTGTGCTGGGTGTTTTCTTGATATTGATAGCATTCTTCCTCCAAAGCAACTCTAAAGGAGCAGTTGCTTTAACAGAATTTTGGTGAAATTTCAAAGGCAAAGGTCTGTGTTTAAAATTGTAGTGATGCATGAAGCAGCATTCACACAGAAGTCACTTTCAAACCGGGCAGGTTTCTGTTGGTCAACAAGGTGAATTTGTGTGACCAACTAAATCTGCATGGAGAACTTTTCCGCTTTCACGTGAAACTCCAAATCTTGTGGATTCCTATTGAAAGACTGGATTTTGCTTGTGAAATTTCACAGAGCAACGGTAAACGTGACCACACCTTAAGGGAGGTTTTTTGTCTGTTTTATCACCAACTAAACAAACATAGCTACATTTCTGTTGCATCTATTAATTAATAATACAACAAGTAGTATCATACCAAATTTCCGAATGCAGAATTTATGCACTAAAGTTTGTTTAAATCCCTCAGTTTGAGCAACAATATCAAGTACCACTGCATGATGAAGTGTGATGAAGAATATGCTATTGAATCTAGTTAAATCTCATGTTTGTATTTTTGTATGTGTTTCAGACATGGTCCGCCGTTGGTGTACGTTGGAAGGTGGATTTCTTAGTTACTATGACAATGAGAAGAACGCTTCACCCATAGGCCGAGTTGACATTAGTGACGTGGTGAGCCTGGCCATCAACAACACTGAGATCATCACCGAAACAGGGTACACGTTTCCCGCTCCATCCCTGTCTCTTTCTCTCATGGCCTCTTGTTAATGTATTTATTAATTTGACCACCTTTTGTGGGTTAGAGGTTATGGAAAGTGTTTTAGATGTGACCCCACCTCAGAGTTTCCATACGCTAACAAACACAATAAAATGAGATGAAACCGACATGCTGGCTGACCTCTAACCTGATTAGCCTGAAATCCCAATTTTTCTCAAATTCTTTTGTTCTCGCTACTGTAACGAAAATATCCCCGTCCAAAAATGTGGGCCACAAGTCAGAGCTGTTAAAGCCATTAAGAGACTGACCTTTCCCTCTGGATTAATCTCCAGCGTTCAGCTGTTTATTGTAAGAGCAAAAGACTAACAGAGATTAATCACCATCCTTTCTGTTTCACAGCTGTGAGCATGTGGGCATGTGTGTGTTCCAGTCACTTTGTGTCTGTGTGTATGTTAATTGTACTGTTTCCACACCTCCCTTAGGTCAGTGTTCACCTTTGAGCTGTACCTGCGCTCTCAGAGAGTGCTGGTGTTCGGAGCAGAGACCTCAGATGCACATCAGGATTGGACACATGCCATCGCCAAGGTTATACGCACTCAAACACATAAAATAAGTCTTAAAAGATTGATCAGCATTGCAGTGATTTAGCATATGTGTACTTCTGTGTTTAAATATGAATTGCAGCGTTTGCCACACTGTGCTGTATGCATCGACTCTTGAAGGTCATTTATTATGTCTTTGTCCCTGTTGTGTCGGTGTGTGTTAGTGTTTTTCTTGTGCGAGTTGGTGTATGCTATTACTCCTTCAAACAATTCCATCTCACTTGCCTCTCATCCCTCACTCACACACACTCGCACACATTCCCATTTAAGTAAAGTGTGGAGGTGCTAGTGTCTAGGCTGAAATGTTTGCGTAACTCTGAGAGCTCAGCTAGGGAATGTTCAAAGGGTATTTGTGTCTGTATATGCTGTTTTAATGCAACTCCAGGGTTACCTGTAGTTTCTGTTTGGCAGAAAACACTAGACACTTATTTGTGATCTACACAAGCCCCTGACTTTTAAATGTTTTCTCTCTGCCTCTCACACGGCTCCTCTGTCTAATGTTTTTCTCTTTCGTTTCAGTGTTTTGTCCCTGCAAGGGCAGATGCTCTACTGAGGCAGGACAGTGAGCTTATTGGCCGACTGCACTATAAAGAGGGTCATGACCTTTATCATTGGCGAATGGGATGGTTTGCTCTGGTGGCTTCAGAACTCTACTTCTGTTCTGGAGATGAAGATGAAGAGGAGGGAGTTATTCAACTCAAACGCCTACAGGAGCTTAGTGAGAACAAATATACATGCATAGCAATAGATGAACTATTCTTTTCATATCTTTCATTCTATGTTTTTCCAAACCCTTTTGTTTTGTTTTTGAAAAATTATCAAGGCTATTCCTTTTAAAGGGGTCATATGATGCTGCTAAAAAGAACATTATTTTGTGTATTTGGTGTAATGAAATGTGTTTATGGTGTTTAAAGTAAAAAAAACACATTATTTTCCACATACTGTACATTATTGTTTCTCCTCTATGCCCCGCCTTTTTGAAACGTGTCGATTTTTACAAAGCTCATTGGTCTGAAAAAGCGAGGTGTGCTGTGATTGGCCAGCTATCCAATGCGTT